ATTTGCTCTAATAATATCTAAAAACAGAATTTTAACTTTAGCCTCATCGTTTTGTTCGCTTCCATTATCAAATTATTCTTCTGCTATCCTGCCTGAGAGGATGGAATTTTTCACGGATTTCTTTTGAAATTTGAACGTTTCTCCTCTCTGAGGTATATTATGAATTGTGAATAAGACTTGCATACACACCAAATTAGAAAATACCTATTTTTCCTGTTCTTTACAGCTCAGATTTTCTTGTCTTTGATCTGTGCCACCGGTAGAGTACCTATTAATCATGTTATTGCGAATATTTTTTCAGCAACCTTCTGTACTCTGTAGTTTGTTGCATGTTGCAGTTGCGGCGGCTTATGTAGTTTGACACGATTTACGGAAGGCTGGAGGTTATCCTCACTGAATCTACCTCATGGACAAACAGGAGCTGCGCGGAGCAGGATAATCTTTTCATGGGAATGACAGACGAACGCAGCTCTTTATATACTACATACTTAGTCACCAACAGTCCATGGCAATTAGTTGCTAACATTCTGAAACAATTCAGTCTTGGCATCTACGTCGCGAAGGAACAGTCGACAAACTGAATAGCTTCATGACCGGGTCAAGAATAGTGGAAACACTTTATTCAGCGAAGAGTACTTATGATAATGAGGCAGTGGTGTGTAAGGGATGACGGTTTTCCTTAGTCCTCAAAGCAAACTTGTCAAGATGAAGGGTACTTTGAGCACAGACTCAGTCTAAGAAGGGTAAGGAGTAGGTGGAGTGGTGGGGACAACAGTTTGCGATTGATGTCTTCGAGCTCGCTCGCGAGTCAAGCCATTTAAAATGTTGTCATATTTTCCAACACTGAATCAGCACGAATTTCAGGACGTGTAATTATTCTTCATCTGACCAACTTCGCAAACGCAGCTCGCCATTTGAACTGTATAAAACACCGGCGATCGAACTCCCAGTTCACAACAGCACATAATACAGCACAATTTCCCGGAGTCACCTTCATCATCGATTTGGCACGGTCAGCGTTAGAATCGCCGTGGTTCTTGGCAACGGCATCGTCTCATTGGCCCTAGTCATGTGTACTGCTTGAGTAAGTCATTTCGACCCCCCATAGGGCATGTCAGGTACACGTGACAGCACTAGCGTGAACGACCGCGAACAGATGCCTATGCCCTGAAGTAGACACAGAATGATATCGACTTGCATATTCGCATATATGTTGATTTATTGGGAAAAGTTCACAGGAGTTGAATGGTTATAATCTGCAACAGATCTTTCTCTCAAGCCCCTTTTAGCCTTAGAGGACCATCAACACCTTGATACATCTTCTTCGTCTTCCATCGCCGCTTATCCTTTCGGGTCACGGAGGCTAACGAGTCAGACAGTGCTTCCAACGTTCCGATCTTGTACCAGAGTCTGAGCTTCCGGCAGAAGGCAACTGAACTCTGGAACAAACTCTATCCGTATACCTGCGCCAGGTTAATCTTGGTCGTCTCCTGCGCCTTGATACATATCAAGTAATATTCAAAATGCAGGTGGCTGACAAAATCTGGTGAATTATGCGCTGTTGACATGTCACGCCTGTTGGATAAGCTATTCTGCCTGGCGGAAGGATCGTAACAACAAAAAAAATGGGTTTTACTAGATATCGCTTGACCTTATAGAGAACCAGTAAGTGGAACGATGAAACTGGTGCAGGTCAAAGTTGCCAATAAAGATTTGGCTAACGAATTGAATCATGCACGTATAAATCACTTATGCATCATAAGATCCTTACTTCGAAATATGCTTGTAGGCTGGAACATGTTTAATAATGCATGACTCCTCCAAAACCAGATTCCATGCCGTAATGCACCGTCTCGTTGCCACTAGGACCACTTAAGCAAGCCAGCCATAGCTCCATGGTATTTGGACAACGGCAGTCGTAAACGCATTTTGCATCATTCTGTCCGCCATAGCCACCTCGCACTAATTACGAAAAACGGTGTTTTAATTAATGTCTATGCGGTAGCATGCATAGATACAGTACTAGTACTTGGAGCATCGTTCGTAATGAACGCAACACGGTTCTAGTGAACAAAACGATGCAAAATGTGTATGGTATTGCAGGTGCTCAAATATCATGGAGCTATGGCCTGCCCACTGGCCTTTAGGTAACTAGGAGCAAGGGTTGTGCAATACGCCGTGCAACCTAGTCTCAAAGAAGTCATGAGTTACTTAACTCTCAGTCATTCACATGCATAAACATGGACACAAAGCCATGGACTGCTGAGATCTCACTTTAACCAGAGAAGTTAATTTTTTTCAAGCTCTGCTTTCCATTACTAGAGAGGTAGCTCACCAGTTGCGTTAAGACCAGGAACTGGAGAAACAAGACATTCATGCAACCTGAAATTTATTTTGAATAAAATCAAGGCTCATGGCATATGGTTTGTTATAAATACCATTTATTTCTTTCAATTTTGAGTAAGCCTCTGAAGGCAAACAATCGTCAGCACAGCTCTTGGGATCATTCACAGGAAGAATGAACGCCTTGATCTTTAAACCAGTGCTACCAATGGTCTGGTCGTGATGCAGCGGTCTTAACTGGGTATTCGTAATTCGTCTCACTGTTGCTTTCCTAGCGGCCGTCCTGACAGAAACTGCTGGACACACCTGCGGGATAGCTAGCTGGAATCAGTGGTGCACCAACTACACCAACGGGACCATATAACGGGAAACATTGATTCGCTGGCACTCACCATGTTCAACTTCATTCAGTGCGATTCAAGCGCAACAGTACGATCTGGTAAGCAAATTAAACTATCTGATTCACGCTTGGAAAAAACCTCCGATTGACAAACTTGACCATAAAAAAGTATTTTAACGTTCTGAACAGTGTTTCAGTGAAAATGGTTGTTCATTCAGCACCGGAACTTGAGGTAGTACCTCTAACGGTCTAAAATTGGTTGCAGCTCGTCACGATGCCCATAGGTGCGTTTGAAGGAATCAACAACGCAGTCAGTTTACTACTCGGATTGCCCCTGAGTGGTGATTTTTCCGCGTATGTCCCCAAATCCTATAGTACCGCAAATTTTGCATAGTTCTTACATCATCCTCACATGTATGGGGTGTAAGCGTTTTTTGATGATCTACAAAGACTCAAGGACAGGTATTGCCTTAGTCAAATCAATTACGACAAGTATCGCTTCTCCTTTGCCATAGGAGCCATTATTTTTGGGATAACAATTTTGCCAACCATCGTCCCTTGCTCTATCGTAATCAGTAATTTAGTTTAAAGTATCTTCTATCAAAACAACTGTTATGCCTTCCCAAGTCGCAGTGGGACTGTGTTATGAAACAAAGTTAAGTTACTCAGAGTTTGGGGGGGG